GCTGATTTTCAAGAAAGCCCAGGAAATGAGAAATTACAGAGTAATGTGCCTGCACAAAAGTTTAACAACATGGCCCCACGTAGTCTTTGCATTAAACACATCAGAAATTAAAGAAAATGAAGATGTATAAAAGAGCAAATGGTAAATTGCATTGCTCTCAGCATGTATGGAGAATAGGGGTTGAATAGTTATTTGCTTACTAATTCCATATATGGATAGTACCTGATTTATTTCCTACCACTTTCTAAAAGCCTGATACTAGGTGTCTGGAATAATTATGTTCTGGTTTTTATAAAAACAAAAACCATTGATCATTATTTAATAATGAAATCTGAGCAAATAATTCAAACATCAGTGCTCTCAATCAACAGATCATCTAAGTGAACAGATAATTGTCCTGTGTGTTGTTGCAGGAAAATGTGTGGGAAAGTGGGACAGTTAAGCACTCTGTAGTCAAAAGTCTAGTGTCTGCCTAGATAGTGTGACTTCTAAGTTAGGTGAAGATTTGTACTATCATAAAAGTAGATGTTTCTATATGTAGGGATTGAGATAAGATAAAGAAAAACTACATGTTAATGCAGAAAGTGGTTTTCTAACTTCATTATTCTATCTTGGCACCTCCAGCAGAATAACATCAATAGATGTTAAAATTAGAGGGAAAATACTGTTGAAAACAAGAAACTAACATTATTTTGAAATATCCTTTCCTAGATAACTATTTGTTTTGATTTAATCCCATACTTGAAGATGTATTACAAAGCTGTAATCGTCAACACAGTATGGTACCGACACAACAACAGAAGCTTAGATCAATGGAACAGAATAGAGAACACAGAAATAGACCCACAAATGTATAGGCAACTAATTTTTGACAAAGCAGGAAAGAATATCCAATGGAATATAGACGGTCTGTTCATCAAATGGTATTGGGAAAATTGGAGAGTGACAGGCAGAAAAATGAACCTGTACCACTTGCTTACACCATACACAAAACTAAACTCAAAATAGATGAGAGACCTAAATGTAAGACAGGAAGCTATCAAAATCCTAGAGGAGAAAGCAGGCAAAAACCTCGTTGACCTTGGCCACAGCACTTTCTTACTGAAAATGTCTTTGGAGGCAAAGGAAACAAAAGCAAAAACGAAGGGACCTCATCAAGATAAAAAGCTTTTGCACAGCGAAGGAAACAATCAGCAAAACTAAAAGGCAACCGACAGAATGGGGGAAGATTTTTGCAAATGACATATCAGATAAAGGGTTAGTATCCAAAATCTAGAAAGAATTTATCAAACTCAACACCCAAAAACCAATCCAGTGAAGAAATGTGCAAAAGACATGAATAGACACTTTTCCAAAAAGACACCCAGATGACTAACATATGAGAAAAAGCTCAACCTCACTCAACAGGGAAATAAAAATCAAAACCACAATGAGATACCATCTCACACCTGTCAGAATGGCTGACATTAACAACTCAGGCAACAACAGATGTTGGCGAGGATGTGGAGAAAGAGGATCTCTTTTGCGTTGGTGGGAATGCAAACTGGAAAACTGCTGTTTTCAATAATGTCTGTACCATATTACATTTCCACCAGTAGTGTATAAGGCTTCCCTTTTCTCTACATCCTTCTTAGCATTTACCTCTTTTTGATACTAACCTTTCTAACAGGTGTGAGGTGATTGCTCATTATGGTTTTGTTTTGTATCTTCCTGACAGTGATGTTGAGCATCTTTTCATGCTGGCCATTTTCATATATTCTTTGGAGAAGTGACGATTTGGGTTCTACACTTATTTCTTAATGGATTCTTTCCTTTGTTGTTACTGAGTTGTATAAGTTCGTCATATATTTAGGATATTAACTCCATAGCAGATAAACATTTTGTGAATATTGTCTTCCATTCTGTAGGATGCCTTTTCAACTTGTTTTATTGTACAGAGCTCTTTAAAGTAATCCCACTTATTTTTAGTTTCTGTTGCCTGTGCTTTTGGTGTGTTTTCCAAGAAATCCTTGACAAGGTTAATGTTAAGAAATGTTTCCTTTTGCTTTTTATGTGTTGCAATCTCAGGTCTCACATCTAAGTGATCCATTATAAGTTAATTTTTGTGAGTAGTGGAAGATGAGGGTTCAGTTTCATTCCTCTCCCTGCAGATAGCCACCTTGCCCAGCACGATATTTTGAAGAGACTGTTCAGTCCCATTGTGATTTTTTTTTCAACCTTGTAAAACTTAGTTAACCTGATATTTGTAGATTTATGTGTGGGATTTCTATTCCACTGACCTATGTGCCAGTTTTAATGCCAGTATAGTACTGTAGTAATTACTAGGCCTTTATAATATGGTTTGAAATACGGTAGTGTGATGCCTCTGTCTTTGCCCTTCTTTCTCAGGATTGCTTTGATTATTCAAAGTTTTTGTGGTTCTGAAAACATTTTATTTATTTATTTATTTTTTTTTTATTTTTTCAATATATGAAATTTATTGTCAAATTGGTTTCCATACAACACCCAGTGCTCATCCCAAAAGGTGCCCTCCTCAATACCCATCACCCACCCACCCCTCCCTCCCACCCCCCATCAGCCCTCAGTTCTCAGTTTTTAAGAGTCTCTTATGCTTTGGCTCTCTCCCACTCTAACCTCTTTTTTTTTTTTTTCTTCCCCTCCCCCATGGGTTTCTGTTAAGTTTCTCCTGAAAACATTTTAGTAAAATGTTTTTCTATTTAAAAAAATTGCCATTGGGATTGCATTGAATCTGTGTAGTTCACTTTGGGTAATATGGATGACTTTACAGTGTTGTTCCAATCCAAGAACACAAGAATACCTTTCCATTTATTTGTGTTGTCTTCAGTCTTTTATCAGTGTCCTATAGTTGTATCATGCAGATCTTTCCCCTTCTTGGTTAAATTTATTTCTAAATACTTTATTGACTTTGCTATTGTAAATGAGATTGCTTTCTTAGTTTCTTTTTCAAATACTGTATAGAAACGCCGCTGATTTCTATATGGTAATTTTTATATCCTGTAACTTCACTGAATGCATTTATTTATTTTTAGTGGAATTATTAGGATTTTCTTTTTTTAATTTTAAGATGATTTATGCATTTTGAGAGGGACAGACAGTGTGAGCAGGGGAGGGGCAGAGAGAGAGAGGGAGAGAGAGCAACCCAAGCAAGCTCTGTACTGCCGGCACAGAGCCTGATGTGTGGCTCAAACTCATGAAACTGAGATCATGACCTGCACCAAAACTGAGAGTCAGATGGTTAATGAATGAAACACCCAGGCACCCCTAGGATTTTCTATATATAAGATCATGTCAGCTGCAAACAGATAATTTTACTTATTTTCTGATACAGATGCCTTCTTTTTTTCTTGCCCAATTGGTCTCGCTAGGACTTCAGGACTCTGGTGAATAGAAGTGACAAGGTGGGCATCCCTGTCTTGTTGATCTTAGAGGAAAGGATTTTAACTTTGAACCATTGAGCATGATGTTACCTGTGGACTTACTGTATATAACCTGTGTTATACTGGGGAATGTTCCTTCTATACCTCATTTGTTGAATTTACCTCGAGTGTTTTTTTTTTTTTTTTCCTACATCTATTAAGATGATCATGGCAGCTTTTATTAATGTATATATGACATTTATTTTTTTAAAATTTTTTGATGTTTACTTATTTTTGAGACAAAGAGGCCATGAGAGAGAGGGAGACCAGAGTCTGAAGCAGGCTCCAGGCTCTGAGCTGTCAGCACAGAGTCTGATATGGGGCTCAAACTCATGAACCTGGAGATCATGACCTGAGCTGAAGTTGGACGCTTAACTGACTGAGCTACCCAGGTGCTCCATTTATCACATTTGTTGATTTGTATATGTTGAATCCTATTTACATCCTCACGATACATCCCACTTGATCATGATGGATTCTTTAAATGTACTATTGAATTCAGCTTGCCAGTATATGGATATTATACATTTTTCTTTAACTGGTTCCTTTTTTCTTCTTTTCAAATACAATTAATGTACTGTATTATATTAGCTTTAGGTGGATAAAAACAAATACCACATGATTTCACTTGTGGAACTTAGAAAAATGGACAAAGACAACAACAAAAACAAACCTTTAAATACTGAGAACAAACAAGTGGTTTCCAGAGGGGTTGTGGCTGGAGGGGAATGGGATGGGCTAAATAGATAAAGGGAATTAAGAGGTACAAACTTCTGGTTTCAAAATAAGTCACTGAGATGAAAAGCTTAGGGAATATAGTAATACTGGAAAAAAATTTGCTGATATTTTGTTGAGAATTAGATAACTTAGGGAAAACTCAACCTTGTAATGGGGACGTATGCCTGTGATCATCTTAAGCAATTAAACTTAGCATCCTTAATAGTGGGACAATGGCCCTCATGTACATCCTGATTAAATGAAATAAACACCTAATATTGCCTCTAATGTTTTTATAAAAAAAGTTGGCTGAATTTATTAATGAACCTTCAATCAGACAAATTATGTAGGATATTCTATAAGATCGTCCTGGCTCTGGCTTTAAAAAAAAGCCATTAAAAAGGCCAAGGGACAATTCTATATTAAAAAAGAAGAAAAAAAACACAGAAGCAAACTCATTCCTTGAATCCTGTTTAGATCCTGGGTCGGGGGGGGGGGGGAGAACAAACTTGAAAAACAAATTTCATATTCAGAAACAAAAATAAATATTTAGGAATATTTGGGGGAATTGTCGAAATTTAGGTAATACTTAGGAGTTATTGAATTTAGTCTCTGTCTCCCTTTATTATTTAGAGAGCACATTGATGCACACCAGCCAAGAAGGGACAGAGAAAGGGAGGGAGAGAATCTTAATCAGGCTTCATGCTCAGCATAGAGACTAAGGAGGGCACCTTCTCAGAACCCTGAGATCATGACCTGAGCTGAAATCAAGAGTCAGGATGCTTAACTGACTGACTTGAACACTCACATTCTGTAAATAAATTTAAAAAAGAAGGGAAGTCTGAAGTTAACTTAAAAGTGGATCAGGAAAACAAACAAACCCACCACGGGTAAGCACATAAGAGTGAGCAAGAGAGAATGAAAATATATTCCAAATTGTTACAGATTTTGAGTCTGGAATTCACTCTTGTCCAGCAAGAGAGAAATGCAGAATTAAATGTGAGAGCGGCTAATGTCTGGGAGGAGACAAGAGTCCTGAGGAAGGGTCCTTGTTCCATTTTTATTAGGATCAGAAGGCTTACAAACGTGATGGGTGTGCAGAAAGAAACTGTGAAAACAGTGAACATAAACTCCTGTGTGAGAGAAAGGGGGTTTCAAAGATAGATGGTGTTAGGGATTTGGGTCAATACAAAACAAAATCCTAGCACTGAGCAGATGGTTATTTCTGACAGGAGGTACTGTGTCTGTTTATCTTAACTTGCCTGGGGGATAAGACAGAGCATGCTACCTCAGGGTCCACAGGGCACCTTTCTTTTGCTAATTAGCTCTGCTCTGGGCAATTTCACCCTGCTACAGAAGTCTATAACCTTGTTATCCTGTTTACCTATTCTGGACCTTCCATCCAGTGAAAGAAGCTTGCTGCTCTTGTACTATGTTGGGGATGCTTTTGCCCTGATTACGTAATTGTGGATGCTTTCATCCTAAGCCTTGTTAACCCATTGGTGCTCAGGGAATTCCTAAACTTATTTCCCACACCCAAAAATGTTAAGGATTAGTGAATCTACTTGAAAGTTATATGAGGTCATGTGCTATTCTTCCAACTCCCTTGTAGCTTTGGAAATATTCAAAATAAAGATAAAGATATTAAAACATTCATAAAAATCTAAATGAGAAAGAAACTGACTTCAATAATCTAAGTTACTTTAAATAAAAATGGAATTACTTATATTTGAACAGTTACAGAACATTTTATAAGGATGATATTTTGAACCTATAAGCATTGTTTACTCACCTGTGGATTCACAGACCTCTTAAAATACCTCTACTCCTACTTCTTTATGGTCAACTTTTTGGTCTGTGTTGCCTTGGGAAAGAAGTTTCTGATTAGCAGAGGTTAGTTTCCTTTTAATCAAAGCCAGTGTGATAGACCTTTGTGCCTAGTGGAAAGGCAGTCTTCATTTCAAAAATAAAAATTACACCTTATTGCAGCTGTTTTGTGGGCTGTTGCTCATTCTTAGGCTAATGATGTTTATTTCTGTGTTCCTGCAATGGCTGCTCTGCCTGTGATCTGTCCAATGAACATTTCCAGTTCTAAGAAAAACACCACATCTCTTTAGTTCTGTGTAAATTGAAAATTGGTTTATTTTCCATGGATATCCTGTTTGCTCTCAAACTTCTGGAACTTTTATGCTATTGAAGCACTTTTTACTTTGCTTTGTAACCACTTCTTGAACCCCTGTTGTATGCATGGTTGTGTACTAAGCATGGATATGACTAAGTTTAGTTTTCAATAAAATGGCAACTCCAGGAAGGGGAGTTATTTAAAAAGCATGATTGTAAATTCAGATAAAAAAACAAAACCCTGGTCTGAAATAAAGTATTTAAAGAACTTTATTTGATAAAATCACTGTAAAATGAAAGAATTGTATAAAACACATAAGTAACTTAGTGAATTAAGGCAAATACATTTCTAAATCACCCATGTGAAGAAATAAAATTTTTTGCAGTCACCTTAGAAGTCTTTGAGTCTTTATATTTGCAATTCCCTATTCTACTCAGAATCTCTTAGACTTCTAAAAAAATAACCACTATACTGACATTTAAAGTAATTACTTTTTGGGGCGCCTGGGTGGCGCAGTCGGTTAAGCGTCCGACTTCAGCCAGGTCACGATCTCGCGGTCCGTGAGTTCGAGCCCCGCATCGGGCTCTGGGCTGATGGCTCAGAGCCTGGAGCCTGTTTCCGATTCTGTGTCTCCCTCTCTCTCTGCCCCTCCCCCGTTCATGCTCTGTCTCTCTCTGTCCCAAAAATAAATAAACATTGAAAAAAAAATTTTAAGTAATTACTTTTTTGCTTTTCTTTGTGTTACCACCAAAGTGTGCAACTTTGGTGCCCTTTGGTACCCTCCCTCCCTGTCTTTGTTCCTTTATAGTGCTTCTACAGTAGAGTATAATATAGTCCCTTTATGGTCTCCATAATGTACAGGTTTTTCTTCTCTCTCTCCTCTTTCCATCTTTTCCCTTGAAATGATTTTTGCTGAAGAAACTCAGATATTTGATGTGTATGTAGAGTTTCTCCTGCTCTGGATTATGCTAGTTGCATGCCCCACATGTGGTTTTAGCCTGTTCCTCTGTCCTCTTTGTTTCATGTAGATTGATAACTGGATATAGAAATTTAATTATGTGTGAATTTTTTGGCAACACTATTCCATGGGTAGGACACGTTCTTGACTGATGGTGGCAGCCATTTGTGCACATTGCTCAGGTACAGTCATTCATTAAGATAACAGGTTGTGGCTCATTTTCTATGTTTCCTGTTCCTAATACAGCATAATCAGCCATTCACCAGGGGTTCCTGGTATTTTTTAGGGGGAAATGGTTTTCAAGACCCTAACCTCCGTGCTAGGGCTTTTCCTTGCTACTGGACTGGTTGTTGCTAAGCCATTTGAGTGGATGGTTAGGAAGAAAAATCCCAAAAGCATAAATACATTATGTGAAGAGAAATACGTAGACATTAAATTTCATGACTATAGGTTTCTGTTCAGTAGTTGTGTCTAAAATCTGAATCTTTGTCCCACATCAAGAATTTTGCTTCTCAAGGAGATAGGATGATTGAATTAGAATATCATATAATTATTCTATTACTTTATTCTGCATCATTTAAACAGCAGGCTCTAAGAATTACACAGGACTACTGTTATGGTCCATGTAAAAATGGTTAACATTTCTGGGGCGCCTGGGTGGCGCAGTCAGTTAAGCGTCCGACTTCAGCCAGGTCACGATCTCGCGGTCCGTGAGTTCGAGCCCCACGTTGGGCTCTGGGCTGATGGTTCAGAACCTGGAGCCTGTTTCCGAGTCTGTGTCTCCCTCTCTCTCTGCCCCTCCCCCATTCATGCTCTGTCTCTCTCTGTTCCAAAAATAAAATAAAACGTTGAAAAAAAAAATAAAAAAAAAATGGTTAACATTTCTTTATGCACATGTTTCCTCAGTATTTCCCATTAAAAAACTTCACAATTTCTTTATTATAGTATAGTAATATTATCACACTTTTAACCATCACTGTGTCCTAGCTCTACAAGTAAGGGCATATTAATGCTCATCTCTTGTCCATAGGTCAATGTTTCTCTAGTAATTTGGATATTAAACTTGTTCTCTAGTAGATCCCTCAGGAAAATCATGGGAAAAAATACTACCTGAGTTGTTATGTTTTGATACCAGGTTGATTTAGTCCTCCTATTAACAAGTTATTTTGACTAGTTATAAAAATCCTTGGCTTACATTTTCTTTCCTTGATAACTCCAATGTCTTACTATATTTTCTGATGGTATAAAACACTGCTATTTATTGAAAGATCATATAAAAATAAGATTTCTTTGGAAGTAATACACCCTTAGTCTCTTTTTTTTTTTTCCCATTTCACTAGAATTTTGCCAGGTATTGGTAGTTTCTATTTAGGTACCCTATTTGTTTCAAAATTCAGTTTGAGTATACAGTTTCAATTTTTTAATTAAGGAAAAAGTTGTATGAATTCATATACTGTATTCTATTTCCTCAATTTGATTTTTATCTTTAAGCACTTATATTTATGTATGTTGTATCTTCTCTACCTACCTTTTGATATTGGTCCCGTAGTCTCAAATCTTTGTTTCTGCTTCTTAAAAAAAATACTTTGTTTTTAAAAATAGTTTACGTTTCTCAGCAAAGCTGAGCAGAAAGCAGAGTTCCCAGGTGGCCCCTGCCACTCCCACACACAGCCTTTCCATTCATCAGCATGCCTACATCAGGCTACATTTGTTAAAATTAAGCAACCTACATTGATACATGATTGTTAACCAAAGTCCATAATTGACATTAGGGTTTACTCCAGTGTTGCACATCCTATGTGTTTTGACAAATGAATCCACCATTGTAGTATCATACAGAATAATTTCACTGCGCTAAAAATGCGGTTTTCTGCCTATTCATCACTCCCTCACCCCAACCTCTGTTGGGTCGTTGAGTGTCTTTTTAGTGTCTTTATGGTTTTTTTTTTTTTCCAGAATGTCATATAGTTGAAATCATACAGCATGTAGTCTTTCAGATTGCCTTACTGCACTTAGTATTATGCATTGAAGATTCCTCCTTGTCTTTTCATGGCTTGATAGCTCATTTTCTTTTTCTTTTTTTTCTTTTTAGTTTTCAATAATCTGTTGTCTAGGAGTACCGTAGTCTAGCCATTCACCTACTAACCTCTAGGTTGCTTCCAAGTTTTGGCAATTATGAATGAGACTGCTATTAACATTACTAAGATCTAGCTTATGCAGGTTTTGGTGTGGATACAAGTTTTTTACTCAATAGGGTAAATACTTAAAGCAGTGCAGTGGGTGGATGATTGGGTGAGAGTCTTTGTTGTGAGGAACGATCACCTAAGTGGCTGTCCTTCCTGCCACTCTACATTCTTGCTAGCATTTAGTTTCATTAGTGTTTGGGACTTTCATCATCCTGATAGGTGTGTAGTAGCATCTAATTCCTATTGAAATTTCTTCAAGATGTTTACAATTTCCTTTCCTCTTACCTTCTATGTCTCCGATGTCTACTTTTCCCCACTTTATTCTAGTTGAGTGTTCTTTTCTAAAATTACTCTTGTATTTCTATTTCTCTTCTGAATTCTGTTAACCTCGTTTCTCTAATTCTGATTTATGTTAATCTTATTTTAAGTATATTTGACTCATTTTGAAATATTGGAGTTTCCAGATGGTTTTTTGGAGATGGCTTTATAGAATGCTTTTATTCTGGTAGTTTAGCAAAGGGATCCCAAGAAGGTCTCCTGTGAGCCTCAGTTTTCCTAGTTATAAATGAGGAGGATACTATTAATCTTTTTGTGGCTAACTCCAAATACTGGACCAAATGATTCTATAAATAAAATACTTTTAAATGTACAGATTTTTACCCAAGTACCCTCCAAGTCACGTGGCACATCCTCTGAAGCTGTTTCCTGGTATATAATCATGACCTCAGTTCTACAGAAGATGGCAATTACTTAATTTTTCTTACTATGA